TCACTTGATGAGTGACCTTGATAGTTTGAAAATTTATTGAACCGCCTCTTGGTCACAAGATCTTTCATAACGTTACATAAGCGGACATTTGTTCCAAAGCTTCTGCCAATTGCACATTAATAGAGAGACTCTTTATCATTTGAATGAACTTCTTGAATTGATTTTCACCATTTTTTTGGCAAGTCTTTGAGGATAGAGAGGTGGACAATGGTGCCTTAGCCTTTTATACTACCGGCTCCGGTAAGTCAATGTTGTGCTCCCTAGACGGGTTTATCTCCTCTTGATTCCCTTCAACACTATCATCAATGCAAATCCGAACCTCATCATTTGCTTGAACATCATTTTTTGGAATTTCCTCTTCTTGTATCACTTGGTCATCATCCACAAGTCTCCTTTCACTAGTTGTGGGTGCATTCTCGCATCTTCCACTTTTTGTGATAACTGTCATAGCATGTCCCGTATTGTTACCACCCTTCGGGTTCACCACCATGTCACTTGGTAGTGCACCTTTAGGATGAGAATTAAGAGCTTGAGAGATTTTTTCCATTTGAACTTCTAGATTACGGATTGATGTGTTGTGTAAGGCAAGTTGGGCATCCGAATTGGCATTTTTCTCCATCATTTGCTTAAACACTCATCTAATTGCTTGAAGAACTTGAACCATGGGAAAAATAAGGAGGTGGGTTGCTAGGTTGTTGATACATTAGGTCCTTTGAAAACTCGACCCCCAGTTTCTTGATTGTTTCCCCAGCCACTTTGATTGTTGCCTCTCCAATTTCCTTCATTGTTTCCACTCCAATTTCCTTGATTGTTATTGCGGTGCCAATTTCCTTGATTGTTAGAATTCCAATTGCCTTGGTTATTTTGTGGTCGCCATTGTTATTGATTGAAGCCTTGGAAGTTGTTCATTTGCCCTTGGCAATTGTTCACATGTTGAACCTCTTCTTCTTACTCATGATAAGAATCATCTTGATCAAAACCACAATCATCTTGCACATAACTCTCCACTCGGATTTGCATTTGTGGACCCTTGGTCCTCTCCTTATTAACCAACACATTTACTCCCTCCATAGCATGAACTTACTTAGGAGATTGCACTTGATTAAGTTGGGTTTTTCTAGTTGATACATTGTTGTTTTCAATTCAGTAATGTCTTGTCTATGGTCTTGCAACTCTTTGTAGAGGTGAATCATGCTGGGATCACCTTGTGGAACATTAGCTTGGGATTGCCAAGCCGACATCGTTTCTACCATCTCATCAAGAATCTCACATGCCTCCGCGTAAGGTGTTGTCATAAAGTTTCCACCGACCAATTGATTGACCACACATTGGTTTGTAGTATTAATACCACGGTAGAAAGTTTGTTGGATTATGTTGTCGGTCATATCATTGTTTGGGCACTCCTTCACTATTGTTCGATACTTCTCCCAAATCTCATGCAAATATTCATTGGGCTCTTGCTTGAAAGCCAATATTTCATCCCTAAGAGTAGCCATATGCCCCGGAGAAAAACTTAGCAATAAACTTTGCCGCCAATATATTTCTGCGGACTGCACTTTCTTCTGCGACTGCAGAATTACTTCTAGGGATCGCACTTTGGCATGATGCACTCATTCTTGCCTTTATAAGATGGAACACTCTTTTTTGAGTTAGAATTCTTCGTTAAACTCCAATCCTCCAACATGCCTGCAACTTGTACAATTTCATTAGTTCTGGAAACAAGAATCAACACTTTCGGACTAAAACTAAAGCAAAAAGGTACTAATAAGTGATTAAATCCACATTTATCGGGGGCAAAAATACTATAGAAGCTATTTTCAAAAGACAATTTCCCACTCTCATATCACTATAGAAGGTATTGAGTTTTTTTTTAATAAATAATTCCATAGATGAAATACTAATATTACTTTCCAAAATCAAGTCCATGAACCAAATGATAAAGTGCAGATATGGTTGTTTAAAAGTTTATTTATATTGGAACTATACATGCGCACATATGGGAGAACGTAAGAAATAGGATATTTTGATGTCATTACTGAGGTAACAGCCTCTCTGCCCCTCGGGGTAGAGGTAAGGTCTGCGTACATATTACCCTCCCCAGACCCCACTTGTGGGATTACACTGGATTGTTGTTGTTGTTGTTGTTGATGTCATTACTGATTTTTTGATTCCGATAAGAAAAGTCCTGGGAAAATAAACTTTGTCAGAATTTTGGGAAATGCTCCTGGCAATCGCCAGAATTTTTGATATGGTGATCATCAGATTTTTCAAAAAAAAAAAATGTCAATCGCCATAAATTTTCATATAATGATCACCGGGATTCTGCCACAAAATATGGTAATCGCTAGAAATTTTCATGTAGTGATTACCAGGATTTGTAAAATTATGACAATCGCCAAAAGCTTTTATATGGTGATTATCGGAATTTATCACAAAAAATATGGTAATCGTCGAAATTTAATTCTGACAACAACCTTCAAAATTCTCGCAGCAACCTCAAATCTAGCAGCGAGGTTTATCAAATATAAGTGATTTTAAAAGGATTCATTCGGCGTAATTTCCTGCACACACATTATAGTAAAGTTATTGCACTCCCAATCAGGTCAGAAGACAATTTAGTTAAATAAAATGATTTCTTTCCCTTAAGAAAAAACTAGACCTTAACCAAATTTAATGCAAACGAAATCCAAACATTTCTAACTAGGTTAGGAAAGTAAACTCTCACTAATTCAATTCTTAAAAGTTTCCAAACAAAGTAGTGATTGGAGAATCTTCAAATCTTGTTGACCTGTTGACTAAAATGATATCACGCTCAAATGTTGTAAAGCAACTTAGGTGGTGGAAAAGAAAATATGATACGCTTTCTTTAGAATCATTTCTNTTAAAATGTTATATATATATATATATAAGGGAAAAGGTCCAAATTTACCTCTTTACTTTCGAATATTGTCTACATCTTAACCCTCGTTTTACTATTCGGCCAAATTTACCCTATCGTTATACTATCCGGCCAAATTTACCCCTTCCATCAAACTTTTAAGAGAAAGAAATATTAAAATAATGCAATGGTTAGTAAACAAAATATAGTAAATTGAAGAATCTAAATTAGGTAGCTTGTCTAAATTCCAAAAGTATTTACAATACCCCAACTTTAATGAAATCGTTGCACCAAAGATATGGAGACTTTGCAAGTAATTGTGATAGAAGTTAAAGTTCTTTGGATACTTTATATTGTCGAATTCAACTTTGCTTTAATCAAATGCCTTAATCAAATGCCTACGCATTCTTAAGTTAGTTGATCGAACTGTATACTAACCAGACAATAACAATATATAAACATACATGATGAGCAGCTGCATAGAATAGATAATAAATAGACCCACTGAATTCTATGATGTGTATATGGTTGAAAACTAAATAGTGGAGCAAGAAGAACAACAAGTGATCTAAATAAAAATAAATTGGGAGATTTTGAATTACCTAACAGATTAAGGGCTAATTTTAAAAGTTTGCTGATGGTAGGGGTAAACTTGGCTGGATAGTATAACGGTAGGGTTAATTTTGGTCGGATAGTATAACGGTAGGGTTAATTTTGGTCGGATAGTATAACGGTAGGATTAATTTTGGTCGGATAGTAAAACGGGGTTAAATATAGACCATATCCAAAAGTAGATGAGTATATTTGATCATTTTCCCTACGTATAAACCTACTTCAAATGTTTCTTATTAAAGTTTGAACTCGACTCTACAATTATCATTTCAGAAAGAATAAAAGGACAAACAAAAGATTTAAAATGGGAGTGGCTTGTATAGGTTCTTTTTTACTAACAAAAGCAATGAATTGCTTGATAAGATATCTTTAGATTCTCACTTATAAGGACTAGAAAATAGATAAAAATCAAGATCCTACTAATTAGAAACGATGTTCGCTTTATTCCTTTCAAACTCGAGATCCATATAAAATGCAGTTCAGTCTTTGAATCTTTGTGTAGTCGAGGCGTGCATAGGTATTAGGTTTCCATCTTTTACAGAATATGACTTTGTGTAGGGTTTCCTATTCTTGTGAAATTTCTTTTCTTTCATAATCAATTGTAACATCTCATGTTTCTTTTGTGATATATCATGTCCCGTCCGCCTGTCAAGATATCAAGGAAAACTTTTATTTATTTATTTATTTATTCATGGAACAATATTGGTTAGATTTGCTCATATAATATCCGAAAATGAAAATTGCCGCTTGTTGGACTTTTTGTTTTACCTCGATAGAAAAAAAAGTTGTTGTTGCCCTTGATCCATAAGGGAGCTTTAATCTAAGGGTAATATCAAATAATATATAGACACAAGTTGGGGAATAAATTTTGATTGATTTTTGTCGAAGAATTTGAATGCATGGAGTTTATCCATTTCACAATAGAAATCCGTTAATTGCAAGGACAGATACAAAATGATTTGTTAACAACAAAGTGTAGAATAAACAAAAAATTGTTACATAGGGCAAAATTGAACAATTTTCCTTTTACTTATTTGTAGCTTTTTCTTGATCTGTCATATCTTATAATACTTCTCCAAGACACACACATACCCCATCTTGCACTACTTTCCATCCGCTACCCTTTTATCAGTAAAAGGGGTCAGTTTTTAGATTTGCTATTTCTTGCTTTTTCCTTTTAAAAATAAAAATAGAAACAGGACAAGAAAAAATTAGTTGCATTGCCATTTCTGAATTTTCCACAGGAAATACAAACGAGTACTTTTTCTTGGTGAAATAGGATAATTGTTTTGAGGAGGATAGGAAACTGTGGTAAAAATGAAAATAAATGGCCCATGCAGGTCTCGAACCTGTGACCTTCGCGTTATTAGCACGACGCTCTAACCAACTGAGCTAATGGGCCAGTTGGTTTGGTCACGATAAAGATTATATAAATTAAAATTAAAACACTGATACAACCCTACTTATAAAGAGCCAAAGTCGTGTGAAACCGAAGCTTTCAAGAAAAAAGGAAGCCATGAAGAGTAATGAGTCTCGTTCAAGCTCTTCTTGTGCAGCTTGTAAGTTGTTGAAGAGAAGGTGCACTTCCAATTGCCAATTTGCACCATATTTCCGGTCGGACGAGCCCAAGAAATTCGCCAACGTTCACAAGGTGTTTGGAGCTAGCAACGTGATCAAGATCCTGAATGAAGTGCCACAGGACCAGCGAGAAGACACTGTCAACTCTCTGGTTTACGAGGCTGAGGTGAGGCTCAGGGATCCCGTTTACGGTTGCATTGGAGCCATAGCGTCTTTGCAGCGGAAAATGGTGGAGCTGCAACATGATCTGATGGTTACTAGAGCTCATCTTGCTTACTATGAAGCTAAGCCTAGCACTTCTTGTTCATTCTTGGATTATGATCCCCTCAATGTCAATGTGCCTTCTGTTTTCGTGGACACGTCGCTGTCTGGTGGATTCTTGGATAACTTCACCCAGAACTCCTTCGGCATGGACAACAGTACTGGATCCACGAATGAATTTGGCCAATTCCCATTTCCATGATAACTTCATCTCGCTCTCTTCTTACAGTTATGGGTTGATTACGCATTTCCTTGTATATATAAGAGGAAGAGCGGCTCGTTAAAGGTAAATATATTCGTTTTTGTACATGTTATGATCATTTGCCTAGTAAATCAATCAAAGACTAATTTGGTCGTTTGCTTTTCTGATAAACTGCTATAGCCACATAATCATTTATGCACGGGTGTTGAAAACCACAAGCGCTTTGAGCCGATTCCCATTCTCCGGAAAGAAAACCAAACTCAACAAAATCACAAGGATATATTTTGAGCTTCAATAGTTATACTGATATGATTGATACAGAAAAGTATGAAAGAATTCATTTTTGAAGAAATTGAACATGTTTCATAAAGACAATCAAGAAAATAGCATAACCTAGATTAATTTGAGAAGGATGGAGCATGTAAACAATTTTTCAGCAACTAGCATGGCATTGCAGTTGCCCACAAGGCTCGATGCCCAAGCTCTCTGCATGAAACATTGCCACGAACAAATTCTGACATTGAATTCAAATTTGCGAAGTACATCATACATCAACATTGATTTCTTATCACGATTTATACAAATTCTGTAAATAAACTATGTTATGATGATAATCTAGTAGAATCTAATATACTGCAATGATGGAAAATTAATAAAGCAGTACTTACGTTCGATCACTGAAGCTCCACAAAAATTAAATCCAAATCCACAAGTATCCAGCAGCTTTTGAGAGGTACAGTACTAGTTAGCTGCTGGTACAAAGGATCCACAGTTCTTTTATTGGGGTGCCTGAAACTCCGTCCCAGCTTGCTAGGTGCTACATTATTGCTACATTATCCAGCAATGTACCCACCATGTGATAGAATCCTGTCAAGCTTCAGTGCTCTGCCCCAGCAACAATACAACAGGAGCCTGGAGCTGGCTTACACCATCAGTCCTTGTTCTCACATATGAAAACCAACAACAACAACCCAGTTGGAATTCCATAATTGGGGTCTGGGGAGGGTAGTATGTACGCAGACCTTATCCCTACCCTAGGAAGGTAGAGACATTGTTTCTTATAGACCCTCAGCTCAAGAAAGATGAGAAGAAACAGTAAAAATAAGCAAAAATATAAACAAAGAGCGATATTAACAACAAACACAGAGCTACAAAATGGATGGAAGGAAATAGTAGCAACAAGCAATAACAACAGCAAAATACTAAGCAACCGAAGCGAAGATAATCGGAAAACAGTAGGAAATACTAGCAATCTAAGACAAAAAAACTACCAGATTAACCTAAAACCATCGGTACGGAATAGAAATACGCTCGACTACCTACTAACCTTCTATCCTAATTCTCGACCTCCACACTCTCCTATCAAGGGACATGTCCTCTGTAAGATGAAGCTGAACCAAGTCCTGCTTGATCGCCTCCTCCCCAATACTTCTTAGGTCTCTATCTACCTCTACTTCGACCTACCAAAGCCAACCACTCGCACCTCCTCCTCACTGGGCATCTGAGCTTCCCTCCTCATATACCCGAACCATCTCAGTCTCGCTTCCCGCATGTTGTCCTCCACCGGGCCACGCCCACCTTCATCCAGATATCTCCATTCCTTATCTTATCCAACCTGGTATGCTCACGCATTCATCTCAGCATCCTCATTTCTGTTACTTTCATCTTCTGGATATAGGAATTTTGACTGGCCAGCATTCTGCCTCATACAACATAGTCGGTCTAACCATCAGTCTGTAGAACTTGTCTTTAAGTTTCGGTGGCATATTCTTATCATACAAGACGCCGGATGCTAGCCTCCATTTCATCCACCCCGCTTCAATACGATGTATGACGTCCTAGTCAATCTCTCCATTACCTTGGGTTACAAACCCAAGATACTTGTAACTTCCTATTTTGGGGATGACCTGTGAATCAAACCTCATGTTTATGTCTGTTTCCTCCCTCACATCGTTGAACTTGCACTCCAAATATTTTGTCTTACTCCTGCTCAACTTGAAACCTTTAGATTCTACGGTCTGTCTCCAAACTTCACTGTTGGATTTCGCTAAAGCATTGAGCTGGTGACTGCGAACTCTGGTTTTCCGAAGAGGGAGGAGCATTTGGTTACGTTCCAGAGTACGATGGCGAAGGCTCAAATTGACTACCTCCTCCTCGGGAGGTGTGATAGAGGGTTGTGTAAGGATTGCAAGGTTATCCCGGGGGAGATTCTTGCGACGCAACATAGGCTCTTGGTGATAGATGTTGGTATCATGATAAAGAGGAAAGAGAGTTGTTCGAGGACAACCGAGGATCAGGTGGGGAGCCTTGACTTAGGATAAAGCTCAGGAGTTGGAGAGGAGGTTATCAGCTGTGGGAGCATGGATGAGTTGTGGTGACGCGAGCGCCATGTGGATGACGACAGTGAACTGTATAAGGGAGGCGACGAGAGAGGTATTAGGGGTCTCGAGGAGTTACTCTGATGGCACAAAGGTGACTGGTGGTGGAATGAAGTAGTCCAAGGTAAAGTGGAAGTGAAGGCGAACAAAGAGAGGTATAAGGTAGCTAGGAAGGAGGTGAAGTTGGCAGTCACAGAGGCTAAGACTGCAGCATTTGGCCGTCTGTACGAGGAATTGGGGGACAAAGGCGAGGATAAGAAACTATTCCGGCTGGCCAAGGCGAGAGAGAGGAAGGCTTGGGATTTGGACCAAGGGAGGTGCCTCAGAGACGAAGACGATAGAGTATTGATGGGAGAAACTCAGATTAAGCGGAGATGGCAGACGTACTTTTATAAACTTCTGAATGAAGAAGGGGACAGGGATATTGTGCTAGGTTAATTGGGGCATTCCGGCAGTCACCGAGATTTTAGGTACTGTAGACGCATTAAGGTTGAGGAGGTCGTAGGGCTATGCATAAGATGAGTAGCGGCAGAGCAACCGGGCCAGACGAAATTTCGGTAGAATTTTGGAGTGTGTGGGTAGAGCAAGCTTGGAGTGGTTGACTAGGCTGTTTAATGTTATTTTCAAGACAAAGAAGATGTCCGACGAGTGGAGATGGAGTACGGTGGTACCGCTGTACAAGAACAAAGGCGATATCCAGAGTTGTAATAACTATACGGGTATCAAGTTACTAAGTCATACCATAAAAGTTTGGGAAAGGGTGGTGGAAATGAGAGTGAGAAGGACGGTGTCTATATCCGAAAACCAGTTCGGGTTCATGCCAGGTTGTTCGACTATGAAAGTTATCCACCTTATTAGGAGGTTGGTGGAAGAGTACAGGGATAGGAAGAAGGATCTATACATGGTGTTTATTGACCTGGAGAAAGCGTATGACAAGGTGCCTAGGGTGATGGATGCTCTGACGCACCATATTCAAGGGGAGGTGCCATGGTGCATGTTAATCGCGGATGACAAATGTCTGATTGATGAAATGCGAGGCGGTGGTGACGAGAGGCTGGAGGTTTGGAGACAGACCCTTGAGTTTATGGGTTTCAAGTTGAGCAGGACGAAGACAAAAATACCTGGAGTGCAGGTTCAGCGCCGAGTCAAGGGAAGATGGCATGGACGTGAGTCTTGGATCTCAAGTCATCCCCTAGAGAGGCAGTTTCAAGTACCTTGGGTTGGTTATACAGGATGGGGAGATCGACAAGGATATCGCACACTGTATAAGGGTGAGGTGGATGAAATGGAGGTTAGCATCTGGAGTTCTGTGTGACAAGAAAGTGCCACTGATGCTCAAAAGTGTTAGATCAGCTACGTTGTATGGGGCAGAGTGTTAGCCAGTTAAGAACTCACATATCCAGAAGATAATAGTAGAAATGAGGATGTTGAGGTGAATGTGCGAGCACACTAGGATGGATAAGATTAGGAATGAAGATATTCGGAAGAAGGTGGGTGTGATTCCTATGGATTTATGGATGACAAGATGCGGGAAGCGGGGCTCAGATGGTTCGGGCATGTACGGAGGAGAAGCCTAGAAGCCCCGGTAAGGAGGTGTGAGCGGTTGGCGTTGGCTGGTACGAGAAGAGGTAGAGGGTGGCCTCAAGAGTATTGGGGAGAGGTGATCAGGCAAAACATGTCGTGGCTTCAAATTTCCGAGGACATGGCCCTTTATAGGAAGGTATGGAGGTCGAGCATTAGGGTTGTAGGTTAGGAGGTAGTTGAGCATTTTTCTACTTCGTTTTGGGTGAGAGACTAGCCCGATAGGGTTTTGTCTTAGACTGCTAGTGATTGATGATGCGTCCACACTATTCTTCCATTTTTCATAGTACCGGGCCTTATTTACTTGTTATTGTTATTGTTTTCATCTATTTTCGGGTCCTTATATTGCTGTTATTATTTCTATGATTTCTGTTGATAAATTCTTATTTATTGTCTCTGTTCGTCTTCTTGAGCCGAGGGTCTTTCGAAAACAAGCTCTCTACTTCTCGGGGTAGGGGTAAGGTCTGCGTACTCACTACCCTCCCCAGACCCCACTTGTGGGATTACACTAGGTTGTTATTGTTGTATACAATGACCAGCTTGATGGAGCAAATAAGGGAAACCTCAAGACAAATATTTCATACACCGTGAAAATATTTACTTTAATAAATGACAAGTTACTGCACCAAAATTTACAAGCAACTACGTGAATTAAACTTCGATCAGCAGTGAACTTCACCGTCTGTCATTCAAGATGCAACAGCTGCTCATACCTACAACTTTCTAAATAATAAGCAAATAAACTCCAAGTGTATAGCAACATTTTTTCTTTTTCAAAATGGAAAGTATGTAGCAATATTAACATCATTAGCTGCAAATCATTAGGTATATAAGAAAACTTGGAGACCTAATTACCTAAAAACGCAACCACAGTGAGCAGAGGGATACAACTGGAGCCGGGCTTACATCATCAATTCTTTTTCTCAGAGATGAAACTATGATGTCAATTCTTTGACAGCATGCAGTGACCTGCTGATGGAGCAAATAAGGGAAGTCCAAGTACGTGCATTAATCATTCATCAGAGATAAGCCTCAAGGTGATTCTGTCATACACCCGATAAAAATATCTTTTTTCTACCTTAGAAAATGACAAGTTATCCACACAACAATTTACAAGCAACCGAGTGAATTAACCTTTGCACAGCAGTGAACTTCATTGGATCTCCTCTTTCTGGATGCAACTGCTGACATAAACTA